GAAACTAGTTTAAACCAAAGCATCAAACTGATTAGGCACCTGGATAGACAGAAAAAGCAACTACATAGATTCTGAAAGAAGAAAACCAATTCTATTCACACTAATGGGGAAAAAAAAATCCTGAGAAAAACTTTTAAGAAGGTTCAGGACATATGCAATGAAAACTGTAGAATTTCAAAACAGTAAAAAACCTGAATAGACAGATATCCCATGTCTCCTAATGGCAAGTCTTACCTTTAATCAGTTTTCTCACAATAAATATAGAAATATGTGATTCCAGTTAGATTCCCAGTTTAAAAAAAATGATAAAAAATGACTAAATTTTTGGCTTAAAATGTTTTAATTATACAACATTTCAAACAAATTCAAAAGAGAAACCACTAATTGGGAAAAGACTTCAGCAATACATATTAATGGCAAAGGATTAGTATCCATATCACATTTTAGAAAAAAAACTTTATTAAAAAAAAGATCCACAAAAAAAAAAAATGGGCAAAGGATAAAGTGATGTTTAAGACTCATATGTGAAATCAAATTGAAAAAGAGTGAGAAAGGACTCGCTTTACAGCCAAAAACACATTATAGAGCCACTAACATCAAAACTCAGGCCCCTGAGACAGTGGGATGAAACCTGCAGAGTCCTTTTAAGAATGTTTTTTAAAGTATAAAATGATATACATAGGATTAAAGAAAACCAACTACACTGAAATATGTAACTTTCCAAGGTTAAGAGACCCCCAAAACAGAAGGCCAAAGTAGATTCCTTACAGGAATTTCATCTAGGACAAAAGTGGTAATTCAGCTCAGTAGGGAAAATAAAATTTAATGTGTAGTGTAGGCACACCAGCTATCCATATGGAGTAAGATGGCTCCCTATTTTGAGTCATAAGCAAAAATAATTCCAAGTTTTTAATAGTTCAAAATAAAACAATCTCAGAAGACGCTAAGGAGACATCATGTACAACCTGAAAGTTGGGGAACCCAGAAGGTACAAAATATAAAAAAATAACTTGTAAGAAAAATCGTATCACCAAAGTGAAAAAACATAGGTCAGAAAAAATGTTTAAAACATACACATATGGGTTAAAATCTGTACTATACAAAGAGCTGATATCAGATAAGACCACAAAAACTGAACAGAAAAACTGGCAAAGAATATGAATAATCCTTTCAAAAGAAGGCCAACTACAAATGGCCCACACACATGAGAAAATGCTCTACAGAGATGCAAACTAAAATAAGTTACACCTTGCAAATACAAAGTAACAAAAATTAAAACTTGGGGACACTTCCTGCTGATGCTGGGAAATGCTAGTAGAAATGTTCATTGTTACAAATTTCTGGAAAGGCATCTATAAAACACATCAAACCTAAAAAATACACATTTTTGTTTGACCCATGGATCCAACTCTTAGATACATATCCCACAGAAACAACAAGATCTGTGGATAGGATATTTATTGCAGTACCATCTGCAAGGGCAAAAAATGGAAACTATATAAATGCCCGTTTCTATGGGAGTGGTTAAATAGTAGTAATCCATACCGCGGAATAGTAACATTGCACAATCACTAAAATAGAGGTTACATGCATATAAATTGGTTTGAAGTGATTTTCACAATGTACGGTTAGGTAAGAAAGGAAATAGGAGGAAATACACAGATGATACCATTTTTGTGTGACAATGTATATACATATTTTTGCATTGGAGGAGAGCTCAGAGGCATGGAGAAATGCAAAAAGGGTATATACATGCCAGGTAACACTGATTCCCTCAGGGGGGAGAGAGGTAAGTATTCATGTAAGTATCCATGTGACAGAGGAAACTAAATCAAAACACAGGAGACCTTAGAAACAAAGAAGTCCTTAAAATCACATGTATGAATGTAACTCATTTATATGTCTATATCTATAAAGAAATACATGAGAAAGTAACCTCACTAATACTAAGTTATTTAAGAGTAATGGTTCTTTAAGTGATAGTTTTACTTCTTTCTTCTCTATGCAAATAAATATCAACATATTGAACTCAAGTGTACAAAAAGCTCCTACTAATAAGAACACATACACTCATGTGGCATACATTTGGTTCCAAGAAAAAAGAAAATCCGACTCAAATTGGCTTAAAACACAAAAGGAATTTATTGGCTCACATAAGTAAAAAGTCCAGAAGCAAATCTGATTTCAGGTCCAACTTGATCCAGAGGTTCCAAATTGCATCAGGGCTCCAACTTAGACTCCCTCTTATTTTCTTGGTACAGCCCTGAGGCTGACTCTTTTGTAGTAGAAAAAATTAGCTGCAGCCAAGTTCAAAACATGAGTCTTTGCACCGCACTATCTCCAAGAAGGTATCTTCTTTCAGCAGGTCCTAAGGAAGCCTCAGCAAATATCTTGTATCTAAGTAGCCTGAGCTGGGTCAGGTGACTATCCCTGAACCATTTATTTTGGGGGGTGGGGGAAAAGGGAGAGTTAGTAGCACTGGTTAAAGATAACCAGGTCAACTCTAGCTGGAGCTGGGGGTGTGACAATCCCGTCTAAACCACATGCATGATGGGAGGAAGTTGGTTATCCAAAGAAGACATGGAAGTGAATGCTGGATCGGCATACATGAGCAAGGAATTAAAGAAAATACAAATATCCAATAAAATACTAAAAGTGCCCAATCTCACTAGTAATCAAAAAAATACAAATAAAATTAAATAATCTGTTGCTTATCAGGCTAATAATAATAAAAAAAAAGTACCGTTTGTGTGTGAGAGAGGTGTGGGAGGGCAGGACTGACAATAGGTGCTCACACAACTGGAAATGTGTGTGTAACAAAACAGCTCTAAGAGGCACCCAAACTTTATACCACAACCAGAAACAACACCGATTCTTAAATATGAAACAGAAAGCTAATAACAATAGGAAAATTTAAAGCCCCATAACAGAAGTTGACTCCTTTTTTCCCCCTCCGAAGAGATGTTCCCATTTGGACGGGAAAAAAAGAGATCTGGGTAAATCTGTATTTATATTCCTTAGCTCCAAGTCTTGATTTAGCCTACTTCTTCTTATTCACTTCTTTCAACATTCTTAGACAAAACCCAGGATGGAATCTCTAGTTAATAACCCAAGGTGTGGCTGGGGTCAGAACTAGAATGTCTTCTGGAAACATTAAATGCTTTTATCCCTCTATCTAAACAGATAAAAAACTTCCAAACTATGACTAGTGAAATGGAACCCAAGATACAGAAGCATAATATTTGAATACTGAGAAGACCTACATATGAAAGGACCTAGAGGAATATACCAGTTTACTTGAAAATCAGAAAAACTATACACTAAACTGTGTTTAAAGATACTATGTTGGGCGGGCGGTGGGTGGGGGGGGTACCTGGATGGCTCAGTTATGGGTAAGCATCCGACAATCTTGATTTTGGCTCAGATCATGATCTCATGATTTATGAGATCAAGCCCCGTGTTGGGCTCTGCACTGACAGCACAAAGCACTTGGGATCCTCTCTATCCCTCGCCCCCCTCTGTCCCTCCCCCACTCATGCTCCCTCACTCTCTCATTCAAAATAAATAAAAAACATTAAAAAACATCTTTAAGGATATCATGGATATGAGGTAGGTCTGTGCCATCTCACAGACAGAAAAAGTAATGATATAAGGATTCTTTTATGAGCTATGGGGCCAGTCCCACACTTGTACAGAATCACATATACTTCTTGAGTATGAAAAGTACAATGAATCAAAATCAAGTTCAATGCCACTGCATTCAACTAGAAAGTCAACACCAAGTGTGAATCTGCAGATATGGCAACTAAGTACTCGAAATGAACCCCCCCCCCCCCCGATTTCAATTTTGAGCAAAAGACTGTTCCCAGATTTGATTTCTTTTCTCAGGGCCAATTAAAAAGTTAAGGTCCCACATGTCCCCTGCCTTTGTATCTTTCCTAAACCAGGGATTTTCATTCAATCCTGAGAAGGCCAAAGAACTAAAAGACTACCCACTCTCCTACCTTAACTTTTAGGTCAAATGACTTACCTGGTTAGTTTATACCAATGGAATTTACTTAATAGAAGTAGTTCAGATTTTAAAAGTAAATAACAAAAGAATGATTTTTAAAAAATAGGGGAACTCCTTTAACCCTGCTGTGTTAAAACAAAAAGCTAGTAAACAGCCACACAAAAGGAACAGTGGTTAGGAGTATAGGCATATAAAAATGCTGGAATCCAGCTCCATCACTGATGAAGCTATGTGATCTTTGGGGAGTTACCTAACATATCTAGGTTTCACTATCCTCATTTTTTAAATGGGCATAACAGGTGTACCAACCAATCTCTTAAGGTTGCTGTGAGGCTTAAGGAATTAATCCAGCACTAAGAACAGCACCTTGCACCAAGGAAGCTTTCAGTAAATGTTAACTATTACTCTCAACATAAATTAAATATTTATTTATTTATTTGCTTAGATCTGTGTCAGCACTCTTAGAATCCCAAACACTGTATTCCAACTGTTCTAATTTGCATCATCTGCAAAAGGCACTTCTAAACTACTTCCAATGATGTGAAAATGAAGAACTGACAAAATCCTCAGCTATTTAAGTGGCCAATTTTAGATGCTATAACTACTTCACTTAGAAAATCTCCACCACTGGGGCGCCTAGGTGGCTCAGTCAGTTAAGCATTTGACTCTCGGTTTCAGCTCATGATCTCACAGCTCCTGAGATCAAGCCCTGCATCCGACTCTGCACTGACAGCACAGAGGCTGCTTAGGATTCTTTTTTCTCCCTCTCCCTCTCTCTCTCTATGCCCCTCCCCACTCGCTCACTCTCAAAATAAATAAACACTGGAAAAAAAGAAAAAGAAAGCCTCCACTATGAAACAATAAGCTTGCAACAAAATAGTAAAGTGAAAGCCATATGACAGAATAGAATCTGAGTCAGACTACATTCAGATGTTCCTCAGCCAATGAAAGTAACAGGGAGATGTAGAATACTTCCTTCGCAAATGCATCTAGGGAAAGCAGGCTATATTTATTTCAAAAACTACAAAAGGTTACAATATAGTTCTATCAAACAAAATTAGTGTTTAAAAGTAAGTGACTCATATGTATCCAAATTTTGACCAAATCAACAGGACAATCCAATACACAAAAAGATTATTATATAGCTCAAAGAGCAAAAAGCACAAAGAAATGAATGTCTTGTCAATACAAACACTACATAAATACACAAATCTACAGCTGTAATGTGACACAAACAAATCATAAGTATGTGTTAGCTACCTTTCTCCAACAGTAAAGGAGTAAATGTTTTATATTTAGTAAATACATATATAACGTATAAAACCTTTAATCACATGTAATGTAGTCTAAGAAGTGTGAACCAGGTAGAATGTAAGATTCTCTTACGTGAAGATGTACATTTTAGAACCCAACTTGAAGTAAATCCACTATCACGAGTATTGCAAAAGTGACCCCCAAAAAGTATCACCTGCAACTCTATACAATTAGTATTTGTACCCAGAAATTAGTATCAGAAATCTTACTGAGGGGGTATCATGGTAACCTGCCTGAAAGGACAAATAACTTATTCAGGGGCATAAAACAGCAGATATCAATGTAAGTTAAATAACATACGAGTGAAAAAAAATATGCAATGTATAATAGCAAGAGGTTAGAAAACTGTATACTGTGGAAAAGATTTATTAGTCTGGACAAGTTGGTTTTGATAAACTATTGGCTACTTGTTACAGTAAATTACCAAGAGTTTCATTGCAACAGTATTTTCCCACACACATCAAAATCTGGAAGCAATATGTCTTTCTCAAATGGTCATTTAGTGTTTTTTTTTTTTCCCAACCCTCAACACACAGAAATAGGTTTTTGAATCAACTAGCCATTTAGGGGAGTCGTAAGATACAGATGTTCATAAACATTACACGAGCTACAATTGAGGTACCTGGACAAACACCATCAACATTTATGGAAAAAGGTGTTGGTTTTAAAAGTGGTTAAGTACTACATGAGTTACATAAACACACTATCCTCATCCTTCTGAAACCAAAATGGGGGAAAACCTTATTGCCATTTTGCCAAACACCACATAACTAAAAATGATGCACAAAGAGTCAGAATCCAATGTACATATCACAGAATTAAAACTCCAGTTAAGCAACTGAGCTACTCATTGAAGAAAATGTAAAAGTAAGACCAAACTTCTTAACATATCAATGCTATTTCAGAAGCATCATCAGAATAAACAGAGATTTAATTATAAATTGGCCTGGATTGCATCCTCTAAAGAGAATTTTGCTTAGTACTAAAAGAGAATCTGTCTGCAAACATCCTACAAAAGCTGTGGAATCATGCTCTTTGTTATTCCTGAAGGGAAATTTGCCAGGTTTGATGATACCTGAATATCTCCTAGTAGTTCTAGGAGTTCTACACACCAATTAATTCAGTAATTGATAGAGGAGTATTTATGCAAAGAGGAGACCAAAAGTAGACCTTGTATCAACATATACTAAATAGGTGGATTTTTTTTATCACATGATAAATGTAAATCATAAAATCAAATGTACTTATAAAAGTACACCTATTTTATGTTACATAAAAAACTGTAGACTGCAAACTGTGCATGCTTACCATAACATTTTACCTGGGAAAGCCGATGAGTGGGATTTCTTGCAAATATTTACTGCCATGATACAAAACAAATATGTGCAAACTGCAAGGTTCCTAAAATAGCAGTTAAAGAGTTTATATACAGAAAGATGTCACTATCTGATCAAATATGCAAGAGATGGGAGTTTCCCAGAGTTTATAACATAGAACAGTAACCACCACAGGCTCCGCCTCCAGGGCCTTCTTCCCTGTGTATCAGTTTGACTCCTTTATTCTGGTTCTCACTTTCCCACAGTCCAGGCGTCTGAATGATCTTTTCAACAAGTTCCTCAAAGGCACACTGTACACCATCACAGGTTTTTGCACTTGCCTCTGAAATCCGAGAAAAAAATGTCATAGTACATTCTTTTCTGGTCATATTCCTATGTCTTTCTGGGAAATTATTATGGCATAATATCAGCCGACAATATATAAAAAGACAAGTCATGAGCAATTTCTCCCCACGGGTTTAATATTCATGAATTTACCAACTCTCAAAGTTGAGCTATTTAAATTCTATCCATAACAACAGTAGTATGTAAGCCCAAAATTTTGTGACAGGATTGTACATTGTAAAACCCTACTCATATATGATGCCAAAGTTCCTCCTTAATTTTTCAGTTAGCTCTTAAAATCAGCCCCAAAGCAGATACTATTCCCATTTCAGAATAAGGAAACTTAGTCTCCAAGTTGAACCATCCGGTTGTTCTGTGCCTGCAACCAAGCAGCTATTGGCGGTTGGATAAATGACATACAACCATGGACGCCAGTCTCCTTTGACATTGATGCTCATGAAACTCATGTGCACATTTAGCCCTGCTTCCTTAGCCTACCTTTCCCTAGTAATTACCTTTTTTACTGTCTGAGAGGACTCTCTTATTCCTTCATCATAAAACTCTTCTATTTCAGCTCATCACATAACTTTATGTTGAGAAAAATAAAAACAACCTGACAGGAGCTACTGATCATCCCACTAAGGGACGAACGAGCCTGCTTCCATTTGCAGCCTTGGGCTCTGCCTTCAGTCTTGTTACACTGGATGAAATGCTGTGCTGCCGTCTAGGAGCAACCCCCTTTCTAGCTCCTGGGATCCCATCCTTTCTCATTCAATGAAAAATCATGTACCCCCACTACTGGATCACATCAGTCAGCTTAAAAGCCTACCAAAATTACTGTCCATCTTACTACCGACCAAGCAACCAACCACCCTGCCCTGCAGCCCACAAAGCCTTCCAGTAGCCACCCAGTTTCTCTACTCTATTTCAAAGCAAAATCGTCATCCGGAGTTACCTACATAAGCTGTTACCACTTTCTTACCTCACAATTTTTTTCAAACTACAGTCAACCCTTGAACAACACAAGTTTGAACTGTGCAGCTCCACTTGTACATGGATTTTGTTTTATAAATACAGTATAGTACTGTAAAGGTATTTTCCCTTATGATTTTCTTAGCAACATTTTCTTTTCTCTAGCTTACTTTATTGTAAGAACATAGTGTGTAATACACATAACAAACTACGTGTTAACTGACTGTCGATCAGGAAGGCTTCATTCAGGTCAACAGCAGGCTATTAGCAGTTCACTTCAGGGGGAGTCAAAAGTTATATGCAGAGTTTCAACGGCATAGGGGGTCGGCATCCCTAACCCCACAATGTTCAAGGGTCAACTGTACTCTATCCAGGCTTTTGTTCTCACCACTCCATTGAAACTTTAAAAAAATACCAACACTCTATCTTGTCAGATCGAATATCCTTATCTTATTTGACATCTTGCTGCAGTTGATACACCTGATCACTTTCTTCCTGTACTAAATACTTTGTCTGCTTTTGACTTTCAGGATGCTGAACACTCCTCCTCTCAAGGTTACATCATTCACAACCTGTTTGCTGACACTTCCTCTTTCTGCTGACCTCTAACTGCTGGGAGTACCCCAGGCTTCAATTTTCAGCCGTTTTCTATCCAGTTCTTCCTGTGATCACTACAATCCCATGACTTTATTATTTTTTAAGTTTTTAAGTTTATTTATTTATTTTGAGAGAGAGAGGGAGAGAGTGAACAAGCAGGGGAGGGGCAGAGAGAAAGGGAGAGAGAATTCCCAAGCAGGCAGAGCCCAACGCAGGGCTCAAACTCACGAACTGTGAGATCATAACCTGAGCTGAATTCAAGAGTCGGATGCTTGGGGTGCCTGGGTGGCTCAGTCAGTTAAGCATCTGACTTAGGCTCAGGTCATGATCTCGCGGTTTGTGAGTTCGAGCCCCGCGTAGGGCTCTGCGCTGACAGCTCGGAGCCTGGAGCCTGCTTCGGATTCTGTGTCTCTTCTCTCTGCCCCTCCCCCACTTGTGCTCTGTCTCTATCAAAAATAAATAAACGTTTAAAAAAAAATCTAAATAAATAAATAAATAAATAAATATAAATAAACAAAAGAGTCAGATGCTCAACCAACTCAGCCACCCAGGCACTCCAGTTCCATGACTTTAAACACCAGCTAAATGCCAATGACCAGCATGTCCACTAGTTATCTGAAAAAACAGGCCATTCTTATACTACGCAGATTTCTTGATTCCCTACTCACTTTCCCAAACCTGTTCTTATCTCAGTCTTTCACACATGGTTAACGGCAGCACAATCCACCTATCTGTTCATGCCAAAGACTCGACGTTATCCTTCATGGCTCTCTTTCCTTACCCTCCAGACCCAATCTATCTTTCTACACAGCCTACCACCTTTACCATCAAAATATCCCCTGGATCTGTCAAATTTCCACGACCCACAACCGCTCCCATATTCAAAGTCAACAGCATTATTCATCTGGGCCATTGTAAGAGAATGATGAGCCTCTTGCTTCTGTTCCTCATGGAACATTTTCTATACAAACAAGCCTTTTTAAAGAATATCAGATTACAGCACTACTCCCCTGCTTTTCACACATGGAATAAAATCCACTTCCATACCATATCCTATGATGCCCAAATGACCTCTATCTCATCTCCCTTCACCACCATCCTTTCCCCAACATATACCATTCCTTCAGCCCACAAGCTTTCTTCCTGCTCCTTACACACCTAAACTGGTTCCTACCTCAGGAAATATGTGCTATTGTCTCAGCCTGAGATGTTCTCCCTCTAAGTCTTCATATGATGGATTCTTGCTCAAATGGGACTATCTCAAAGTTTAACTTTCCCTAATTACCTCCTACCCCCATCATACTTCCTCCCCTTAGAATGTTTTATTTCCATCATAGTGCTGCTTACTTATTTAAGTCTATTTCCTCTACTAGAATGTAAGCTTCATGAGGGCAGGGAGTTTGTCCATTTTGCTCGTTATATATGTGTTCAATAAATGTTTATTGAACTAATATATCAAAATGAAGGACACCCAGCAAGTAAGCACAAGAGGTAATATTCAATTCCTTTCTAAATTTCCCCATTACCTTCCATTTATACCACCCTGCTTCTATCTATATACGATGTTCTTCGTTTCCATTTCCTAATTCCTAAAAGGTTCTAACACAGTGGAATAGCTACATCAGTAATTCTTAAAGCTGCCTTCACACAGAATCAACTAGGGTGTCTATAAACATCTTCCAGGCCCAGTTTCAGACATGTGACAAGGCCCAGGAAACCTAAAATGTTAAAACCTCCACAGTGATATAGCCAGTCCACTTTTCCAGACAGGCGGTCAACAAACTTTTTGCTGTAAATATTTTAGGCTTTGAATGCCATATGGTTTCTGTTGTAACTATTAAACCCTGCCTTGAAGCATGAACGCAGCGAAAGACAGCATGTAGATAACTGGGTAGGTATGGCTGTGTTCCAATACAAATGGTGGGGCCAGAGTTGGTCCATGCTGTAGTTTGTCAACCCCCATTCTACCAAGCTTCTCAAATATCAACTGCATACAAATCACATGAAGATCTTGTTAAAATGCAGTCTCTGATACAGAAAAGCTGGGCTGGGCCTGAAATGAAGCATTTCTAACAAATTTCCAGGTGGTGCCACTGCCACCAACACAAGCACCAGCAAGGTACAACCATGGCACTGGGCACCTGGCTTTACCGAATGCCATTATACCCGGAGACAACTGATCTGTGTCCTACATGACTTTACATAATGTGATCCTATCTTTTATACAGAAGGAAAAAAGAAACTGGCTCTGTAGTTAGATTTTATAGCACAAGAAAATGCTGAACTAAGTACATACATTTTACAGTCATAAAGAGAAAAAATGTAGCAGAAACTTCATTTTAAAATTCCTCATTAATAATGAAAGGATAAATGTTCATACACCTACCTATAAATAACATGGAATGCTTTCGGGCAAATTTTAGGCCTTCATTTCTATCGACTTCACGATTTTCCTAAAATATAAATGCAAAGATTAAGACAAGCTACTAAAATGTAGTCAAAATGCCAACTGTCTGACTTCTTACCTTATCAATTTTATTTCCAACTAGCATGTTTACTATGTCATTTCTCGTGCAGTAAGTTTCCAATTCATTCAACCAATTATCCAATTTAACAAAGGTGTCTCTTCTTGTGACATCATAAACTGAAATAAAAAGGCTCACTCATTAAATAAGCATTTAAAATAAGAAGCAATGACATTACATTTCTGATATGTGACTAAGAGCAATGTTATTATATAAGCAAGTCTGTTTTTAAGTCTTCAATTCTTAACCATCAGATGGTACCAACTAACTCAGATGGAAGAAATAAGTGTATTAAACAACAATAATACATACACATACACACACTTCGATTTTATTAACACACACTGAGAGAAATGAAATTGTATCCTGTGCTGTAACTGAAAATTAATTTCAGCAAAACAACAGCTGTTCCCATTCATAACAATAGAAGATGTTTATCCAAAAAATAAAAAACATTTTAGATTCAAATCTGTGGCAAAATACCAAAACATTTTAGAGGACTTTAAACATCTATGACCCTGTTAATTTATTTATCACAAGGAACAGAATTTGCAATTTTGAACAAATTTCTAAAGTTAGTAAATAGGATCCTGATTGTTTCCCTGTTATCATTTCATTTTACATCACACTGCATTACAATATATAAAGAGCTTATTAATTTAAAGTATCTTCTAAACTTAAAGATGCTGAACCAAAATAAGAGTTGCTGTTAAATTAACCAAATAAAATAAAATAAAATAAAATAAAATAAAATAAAATAAAATAAA